AAAGTTCCATCCCAATCATCTAGACGAGTGACGGTCCTCCACCTTGCCTTTCTCATGGCACTCTTTGAAATCAACTTCCAGCAGCACTATTTCCGAACCGATACGACATCATAACCTTCAAGAAAAGAGCATATTCCTGTTTAAAAGACCGGCAGCACACCTGCAATGCCTATGTTCACGTGTTATAAAAAAAAAGCAATCTCTTTACGCTCACTAAAAACAGTTAAAAATAATTTTGATGCAAGTGGCTTTCAATCTTTTATTTCTTTTTTCGTGCAAATGCAAATAAATTATACATATATCTATCTATCCATTATAAAAAAATCTATATTGAAATGGATGAGCTATTAATTATATAATTATATTTCATATCTACTAACCAAACAGCGCTTTCATCGTGCGCTTTCGTTTCGCTTCATGAATTAAAACAGTTTCTCAATTATTATTTTAATCGCTGCACTGTACTCCTGGTGTATATACGTATATAAGAGCGCTTCATTTCGTAAATGCTTTTAAACCGAACATCGTATTACTACAGTATCACTCGAATAATAAAATAAACATTTAGAAACAATAAACGAAGACATTGTAAAGTTTATTCAGCATTAGTTTCTATAGAGTTTAACGTTTGTTTGTGACGCTCGGCGGCAAATTGCACTAGTATTATAAGTGCTCCCATGTATTTGGTTTAACATGGATCAGCCATCTTAGTAATATATTAAAATTTTAACTAAACAATGTATGTACATTATCATTTCAGCCGTTAACTGTCCACTGCTGAACATAAGCCTTCCCCATAAGGGGAGTTTTGCCAGTAGTTGCTACGCTTAGCAGGCGGGATGGCAACCGCAGTTAGACTTCTACAGATGTTTTAAGAGGGTCACTGTAGCCTAAGACGCCTGCAACACTATTAGTGTTACGTGCGTATTGCCGACCCTGGTGAAACCTTAATACACCCTTTTTAAAGAACCCCATACTGCAGGGTTTCTTAAATTTTTTGCAGTCACGGACCACTATCACAATTAAAACAATTTCACGGATCCCTGTCCAAAAAAAAACATTTTAGTTAGGTCCTAAAATCTAGGAAAAGAAAAAAGGCTTTTTTATATTGAAGAAAAACTTTTATTGATAATTTTATTACACTTACTCCAAATTTATTGAGAAGGATGCTGCTGTTTGGCTTCAGTAAGAACATTTCCTAATAAACATAACTCCCTAATAAATATTTTTACAGTTAACTGACCTTTCTGACTGCAGATCCCTGATATACATGCTACAGATCCTTAAGGGGTCCGTGGAAACCACTTTGAATAGTACTTTGAAGAAACCCTTCCATACTGTAATCATTCAATCAAAAATTTAAACAAATTCTCCGATTTAATAAAAAAGGACGCTCCTCACTAGGCTGTCTGGCGAGAGCACTAATGTCTTGGTGGATTTGCACTTGAAACGAGGGCGTGATTACAGTACACTGCGTTTGTTTTTTCAACTTAACACCGCACTGCTATTGCCTTCAGTTGTTTTGTTGACTGTACATTAGTAGTGTTTGAGTTGTTCTGTTGACCTTTCTTGAAGTTTCTTGGGATATTCTTTTGCTTTTAGGTAATTTTACAGGTCGTTGCAGTGTGTTAGGATTAAAATAGCTTATTGTATACTTACGCCTATTGTTATGTCAGAATAACGACCTCTGATAAATACATAAAGACTAGCTTTTACTCATGACTTTGCCCACATAACCGGGATAGGTTTACTGATCGGGTTAAAAAGTAGCCTATTTCCTGTTCCATTACATAGAGTATATGTATACCAAATTTATTTTACTATTATTATCATTAGTAATTAGTTAAGCCGTTAAGACTATTTAAAGAATATTCTAAAAAATGAATTAGCGAAATCGAATACTGTTGGTATTACGACATACAAACACCAGAGGGAAACTTTGTACAAAAGTCGATTGCTTGGGGACCTCTGTCCCATTCGTGTTTCAACCATGAAGCAGTTGTGTTTGCATGGCTGTGTTTCGGTTTGAAGGGTGGGATATGGCGTGAATTTACTGGGTACAGAGGAATAACATCTGATTCCTCAGGAATAGCAACGCATGGGGGGTATCATGGGCGAAACATTATACTCTGTTATGCCCATGGTACTGCTCATGTCTATAGGCGACGGTTACCACTTTCCATCAGGTGGGCCATCAGCTTGTTTGCTATTCTAAGTTGTATAAAAAAAAACATACGGCTGATACCAATCTTTTGAAGTGTCTGGAATATGACCGACGGCTCCATACCCACTTTGTGCAAGGCGATCACTGCAATCCTAACACCCTTTCCATATTGTAATTTGATATTGAACACGAAAAAATATGTGAAATGGCGCGAAATCAAAAGAAGTTTTTAAAATAACGTGTTCCAAAGTCAAAAAAATTAAAACGATAAAATAAAGCAAAGTTTTTTGTAACAGTATGTACCTATGGCCAGATATAGTGGTAATTAGACTATATAGTGGTAATTACATATTTTAAAATAAAGACTTTGTAAGACGATTCCTCTTTTTGCTGATAGATTCATTGAAGATCTTATATAAGGTTTTGATATGTGAGTGTTTTTTCAGCTCATCCTGATGAATACACGGAATGAACTGAATGGTCGAGGGATGGGCAGCAGCGTCCCTCTTTAACCGTCTCCAGAACCTAATGGCAGTTGCCAAGCGCCACCCGATTGTCAAGCGTGACAATTACTGACAAAACCCCCAAATAGGGGGAGGCCTTTGTTCAGCAATGGACAGTTAACAGCTGATATGGTGATAATAAGGAAATAAAAAGGATATCTATCCCTATATATATATCTATCTAGATAGACAGATAGATTTATGACATACGTAAATTCACAAATGTGTTTATACAATCAAATTTATTTACCCTTTTTTAAATATAAAACAAAAGATAAAATATGAAAATATAGTTTCGCCATGTGTGTCACAGTGACCCAAATAGGCTACAGCTCAGTGATGGTTTTGCTTAAAAGCAAAGCACTGATTTTCAGCTGCAGCCTGAAGTTAGGCTACACGGACGCAACAACAAACCCAGAGTGTAACTTATATAATAGCCAAAAGGAATGGATATATATATATATATATATATATATATATATATATATATATATATATATATATATATATATATATATATATATATATATATATATATATATATATATATATATAATTCAGGTAAACAACAACTTGTTTAGTTATGAGAGTATTGTAGTAACAAGTGGAATGCGAAAAACAACGTGAAATTTCAAAATAGCTGCAACTTAAAGATAAATTGTGAACATAGAAACATATTTTTTTTGGTATTTCCTCATCGTGACAATGTGTTTTTACCGATATTATACAAATAAGTATGAGAGAAAAACACAATTGAAAATACTCTTAAACATCATTACTTACTACGTCATAACAGTAAAAACATCTATTCTAAAATTATAAAATGTCAAACAATATTTAAAAATACTTTATCTATATGTAACTAGTCTACACTAATATTATACAGAGGAAAAATTTGTATTTTTATGTGTATGTATGTTTGTAATGAATAAACTCAAAAACAAAGTAGTTTTTAGCCGATTTCGAGAATTCTTTCACCATTGGAAAGCGACATTCACCCTGAGTAACATAGGCTATATTTATTGCTAGAAAAGATTAAGGATCCTGACTAAAACTTTAGTAACGTAATTCAAGATGTAAAAAAATGCTATAAAATATCTTTCGTCGCGTGCGCTGCGGAAACTATTGGTGATGAAACAAAAGTATGTTCTACAATATCGAAGAAAATATCAAAAACTATAAAAAACTTCGCGATACTATATGTCCAACTATTATCGTTATGTCATAATAACCACTTTTTAAAATGTTGTAAATGTTAATAAATAAAATAAAAACACTAGTAACTGAGTCATTAAACGACAACGTCTTAATTGTTTTTAAATAAAATAAATCATGCCCCTTCGTGTCGTAAGAGGCGATTAAGGAAACTTAACGTTAGAGGGATGAGCAGCAGCGTTCCTCTTAAAACACCAAAAATCTAACTATGGTAACTACCAGCTTGCTAAGCGTGATAATTACTGACCAACCCCCACTTATAGGAGAGGCCTATGTTCAGCAGTGGATAGTTAATGGGTGACAAGACGATTAAGATTGTTAAGATCGCTATTTTTAAGAAACTAAAAGTGAGAATGATTGCTTCTTTGAATTCCTTTCTTAATAATTCACGATTTTTCATAGAATAAATAATGAAAATTGAATGTTTTTGCAATGCAATTATAATTTGAATGTTGACTGCTTTAACTCATAATAATATTCCATAGGACAGTACATACATACATACATACATAAAATAACTAATACAAAATAACCCAATACAGCATATATCGCAAAAAATAATTCTGCGGCAAGATTTTAAATGTGAGTTGAGTTGTACTTGTAATCAAGTTTTATTATAAGAGCGACTAAAAACAGTGAATGCCATAAAATATATGGGTTCGTCATTTAATTTTACAATAGAATAGAAATTGAGAAAACTAAACTATAAAACCCATTTTGACTATATTTCTATGAGACTTATCTGTTCCTTTCAGATAAAGATAGAATTTATTAAATCGGTTTAGAACTGACGGAGTTATGAAGTAACAAACATAAAAACTACGACTGAATTTAGAACCTACTTTGTTAACATTGTTTCGGCCACCTGTATGTACGAATAGTTATTGACTACTTATTTTAAAAAATGACTGTACTCGTATTTTGAAATGATAAATTGAATATATCTGACAACATAAAGATTAGTTCTAGAAATATAAGCCTTAAAACTAAGCCTTTTGTTAGTCGAAATGTGAAATTTGTATTTGATAAGTGATAAATAAACGTATATAAAAATTAAGAGACCTTGTAATCTATTTTTCTATCTATAAAGCAGTAGTTACTACATGCATTACGCTAAGTCATTTTTGCCTAAAATGATCATTCGAAGCGTTTTATTCGTAATATTCAGTGAGATGCTAAAAGTTATAAATGGCGAAAATTGTACATTGTTTGAAAGAAATGCTGCTGACATCGACAATGATGTGTTTGAAGAAATTAAAGATTATGCGGACAGTGGAGCGTTCGAAGCGTTGTTCAACATCACAGCAATTGAATCGATTTATCATGAGTTCAAGTCGATAAAATACAATGAAGATATATTCTTGAACATAACACAGTTATTACATAAATATGGTTATTTTGCAGAACAGCATGAGGTGCAGACTAGTGATGGCTATTTACTGAACATGTTCCGGATACCAAATAAGGGTCCTGTCGTGTTTCTTATGCATGGAATTTTTTGTAGTTCTGATGATTATGTGACTCCTGGACCAGACCGTGGGCTAGCCTACCTACTTGCTGATGCAGGTTATGACGTATGGATGGGAAACGCTCGTGGCACAATACATTCTAGAAATCACATTAGTTTGTCTCCATCTTGCGCCGAGTTCTGGGATTTCACCTGGGATGAGATTGGACGCTATGATCTGCCGATTATGATTGATTATGCCTTGAATGCAACTAATCAGGAACAACTAATATATATTGGACATTCCCAAGGCACGACAACATTTTTCGTTTTATGTTCGGAAAGACCAGAATACAATGATAAAATTAGACTAATGGTAGCTCTATCAGCGGTGTCATTTTTGTCTCATACTAAAAGTCTGTTTTTTCAAATTGTAAGTCCTATAAACTCACTATTTTGGGATGCGACAAAAGCAATGAATATATATGAATTTATGCCAAGAAACGCATTAATGGAATTCTTAACAAGCACCTTCTGCGGGACTCCAGCAACGGCTACAATAGTGTGTGACAATGAAGTCTTTTTTTTTGCTGGTCCAGATTTTACTCAGATTAATTCTACTGCTTTGCCTGTATTATTTGGTCATGCGCCTGCTGGTATAGCAACGAAACAATTAATACATTACGTGCAGCTGATACAATCAGCAAAATTTGGACAATTTGATCATGGCTGGAGAAATATAGAGAAATACGGATCTACGATACCTCCGGATTATCCTGTTGAAAAAATAACCTCACCCGTGGCTGTATTCTATAGCCGTAATGATTGGTTTGGTGATATTGAAGATGTCGAAATACTTATAAAGAGACTACCGAATTTATTTAAATTTGTAACAGTGCAATATGAAAGTTTTTCTCATATGGACTATATATGGGCTAGGGATGTAAAAGAATTATTATACGTAGATGTTCTAAATGTAATCGAAGAGTGTCTAAATAGTTAATCGTCAGATTAATACTGTTTAGTTTCAGTCGATAGTATGTCAAGCATCTCCTCTCGTATTGAAGGTGTACATAAGCGAAGGTAGCGGCTTTCCAAAAAGCGGGCCGTCTGCTTCTATATCTACATAACAATAAAAAAGTAATATTAATTAACAAATAAGTTACTCAGATTTTATATTAAATTATTTTCCCGCCCCGCCATTGCACGTATGTGCTAATGAAGTAAATGAAACCAAATTTTACATTTCACTCAATAAGTTTTTTTTTTTTTAAAGAAGATTTTTAAAACCAATTATTTTTATTTGTACAATTTTTAAATATTATATATATTAAATAATAATTATTTACTATTAATTAGGTACTTTCTTAATTATACAGTACTATCATATCTACTTGTACAACAATTAGTCTTACTGTACTTATACAATTGTATCGTTGTGTTTGTAAATTGTCTTGCTTGTTGTATAATGCAAATAAAGTATACTCATTCATTCATTCATTCATAAAATATAATATAATAATATGTATATATTATATTATTCTTTAAGTAATGCAATAAAGAGTGGATAAATTAAAAGAAGAGGGAGACTGTGTACAAAAGTCGTCTGTCCCATTCGTGTTTCTACCGTGAAGCAGTTGTGTTTGCATGGCTGTGTTTCGGTTTGAAGGGTGGGATATAGCAATGAATTTACAGGGTACAAAGTAGTCATACATATCTGAGTCCTCGGGAATGGCAACGCATGGAGCGTATCATGGACGAAACAGTATACTCCGTTATGTCCATGATACTACTCATGTCTATAGGCGATGATTACTACTTTCCATCAGATGGGCCGTCAGCTTGTTTGATATTCTAAGTTGCATAAAAAAAAATAAGATACATTTCTACATTAGTTTATCATTAGAAATAATTTCTTTAAAAATAATCACTATTCTCCATGCATTAAATGCATTAAAAATAATTAATATTCTCCAACATTTAATTATATAATATGGTGTGTATAACGGAGGGAATTTGAAAATGTTCAAAGGCTATGAATTATGAATACACAGGGCAAACATCGTATGTTGACTTACGCTGGCACAAGAGTGTTAACATTAGCTTTTCCTCATTTTACTCGTATTTTGGACGTTGCATTAAAATTCTAAAATATAAAATCGTTATCACAAAGGAACTGGATTTTTTTGTATGTACAATTTTTTTTTTTTAGAAATACTATTTTTTAATTAGTCAGTACTAGTAGTGTAGTATAGTGATACAAAGAATTGAAGAATATATCATTTGTAGAAATAATTATGAATATATTAATTAAATTAATAATAATACGACAGAAGTAATCAAATGTACAAAGGCGAGCTCAACTCTTAAAGAGTTCTCTTCCAGCAAACCCAAAATGAAAAGAAGCATAAATGTCACCGGGTAGAGAGGTCTACAATGTTGTGACAATTTTCAAACAAGAACAAGACAAACTAAAGTTTAATATAATTATATATATATAATATGTACGCACGCGCACACACACACACACACACACACACACACACACACACACACACACTTTTCTATAACAAACATATGTAATAGTTTTAGAAATAAGTACCTTATAGAACCACAACTATTTTACATTATTTTTTCGTTTGTTCTTTTATTGTTATTGTTATTAATTTTCTCTATCTTTTTTTTATTTAATTTCAAATGTATTTTACGTTTTAAGTACTTAAATGATAAAATTGTACACGAACCGGACCTTGAACTGCAATAAATATGTACTAGTTTAATTAACCACTCATCGATTACCACGAAACAGGCCATGTATTAATTACTGATAAGTAAATTGTGTACACGCATTTTTTAATATTATTATTATTTATTCTTACTCTTAATTAATAAAGTAGAATAGAAAAGAATAGAATAGAATATAATGAATGTTTGTATGTATAATGTTGTTAACATATTGATAGCTATATAAATAATAGACATAGTCTACCCACTTATCGCACATATAAATAGAATTGGCCTATTTATAAAATTTGGGATGGTGAAAAGTAATTATTAATTAATGCCATCACCTACTGATATACGAGTATATTATAAAAAATTATATATATATATATATATATATATATATATATATATATATATATATATTATTGCACTAAAACATACAGTAACAACAATAAGTTAATAACAATGTTAGCAAAGGCGAACTTATCTCTTTTAGAGATAAGTTCTTTGTAAGTAGGAATGTAGGAATATTAATTAGAATATTTCAAAAAATACCTAATTAGGAAGATGACTTAGGTGTTAAATTTATAAATAAACATGTTAATTTTTTAAATATTTCGACTGACTTTAAAAAGATGGAGGTATTTAATTCGGTTGTATTTTTTTTTACATTTGTCATCTCACAACTCCGTCAATTATAAAACATATTTCTTACAGACAACCTGGCATGAATAGTAAATAAGTACAGAGAGAAAGGTAGATGGCGCAAGTGAGACACGGTAAATACAAAAAAGTAACCTAACAAAGGACATATTTATTATTTTAAAAATATCATTTATATAAAAATAAGACTAAATTATATAAACATAAATATTGTACAGAGGAATAACACCTGAGTCCTCAGGAATGGCAACGCATGGGGGGTATCATGGGCGAAACAGTATACTCTGTTATGTCTATGATACTGCTTATGTCTATAGGCGACGGTTACCACTTTCCATCAGGTGGGCCGTCAGCTTGTTTGCCATTCTAAGTTTTATAAAAAAAAAAAAAAAAATATAATATAAATAACTAAATAACACGTAGTAAACATCAAGGTAAATTAGAGAGTAAGGTAATGAGATTCTAGTTGCCTCTTGAACGAGTAGTTTAGTTTTTAAACCAAAAAAACTAGTTTTGCTACAATTACCAGAGGGAGACTTTGTCTTTTGTACAAAGTCGTTTGCTTGGGTACCTCTGTCCCATTCGTGTTTCAACCGTAAAGCGGTTGTGTTTGCATGGCTGTGTTTCGGTTTGAAGGGTGAGATATAGCGTGAATATACAGGGTACAGAGGAATAACACCTGAGTCCTCAGGAATGGCAACGCATGGGGGTATCATGGACAAAACAGTATACTTTGTTATGTCCATGGTACTGCTCATATCTATCGATGACGGTTACCACTTTCCATCTGGTGGGCCGTCAGCTTGTTTACCATTCTCAGTTGTATAAAATTTTTTTTTTTTTTTTTATAGAGAACAATCTCAAGTTATGTACTTTTGAAATCCTTTCATGCATCAATGTCTGAATCTGTTTGTTTCGTGTATACATTTTTTTTTTAAACAATTACCGAGAGTCTTCCAAGAAAACAAGTTGAAAATAAAGTAACAAACGCTTCAGCTTCACGTTGGGTTTGACTTCTCTGTTGTAAACGGTATTTTTTTATTAATTTTAAAATTACAAAGGCCTTCAAGACCGTTTAATATTTTAAAAAGAAATATGTATTTTTATTTAAGGGCATCGACGACATAATACTAATTGGTTTCTATAATAGTAATTTGGAATAAGCAAATTCTGAAAAATCCATTTTTAGAATTAATCGAAAATTCTTATTTCTGTAAGGTTATCTATTAATAGATGCCTTCTATGGTTTAGAAAAGATAACGTTAGAAGAAAATACTTGTGACTTAGAGCGGAGACTTGACCATGGCTGGTATTACCTGGTCGAAATGTTGAAATAATGTTACATAAGTAATTATATTTTATGCTATATTATACTTTACGCAATGCAAAAGTATTAAAGTTATTATAATTGTTTTCATTAAGGTAATACTAATCTTCACCTGCGACTTTGTCCGTGTGACTGAGATATGTTCACTTATCGAGATAAAAAAAGCCTGTGCCCTTCTCTATCCTATATAGTAATTTCATATTAATTCATTATTGATTGTCTCAGCTGTTGAAGTGCTATAAGATAGCGAAGAAACATTTCGTATAATATTAATATGGATTTTTGAAATAATTTTTCAAAATACAACAATATTTTTTATTTACTGTCCAAATGAAATCAGCCTGCAACTGATTGTGGGAAGCATCGTGAATCCGAGCATATAGAAGCAATACAACAATGAAACATGAAAGCTGAAATACGACAAACTGGCGAAGAAAATAGAAATTACATTGGGAGACAAAGGAAATCCCAGTCACTTTGCGGTCGGTCGGTCGATGCCGCTTCGAGTTTTAGAGTTTACAATAATAAGGACACACGACTAGATTGCGCAACGTAACAAGTACATTTTGCTGCAAAATAAAGTGTATTTAATTATGGACACATGCACACGCACGCACGCACGCTCGCACGCACGCACGCACGCATGCATGGACAGAACACCTTGATGAATTACAAAATAGTAGGTAGATACCTCACATTGAAAATATTTAAATTTAGAACATAGTATGACGTGCCTCTATTTCATTTTACAGCAAGAAGTTTTTTTCTTAAAAAGAAAAACGACAATTACATTTTCTCAGAATTAGCATAATAGACGTAGATCAATAAAGGTGTACAACCTATTTTGAAATAATAACAAGACTTTTGAAAATTGATTCAGAATGCGCCACTTAATCGTTTAGCATACGTAGTCACCTTAAATCATATAGATAGAGCATTGAGCCTCCAAATCGGGTCAACTTTTTGTTAGCTAATTGTCAAATTAGCCAATATTTTTTTTTTTATTAGTGTACTATATACTTACACAGATAATGTCTCTTGACGTATCTATATTAAATTATTTAATAAATAAAATGATTTTTGGACATTAAAAAGATGTACAATTTATAAAACAAAATAAATATAGAAGTTTTAAAGGAATGTTATTATTTATCACGCAAAATTATGTGAAAAAGTTGACCCGCTCTTTCGAAGCATTTGTATGAAGTCACTCTATTGAATCCAAGGTAGCTGTAAGCGATAAAGGAAACCAGGAATGGAAATTGGAAATATATGTATCTTGGTCA